CGTATTATCTGTCAGAACCATTCTCTGGGTCACAAATATTTTTAATTAACATTGTCCTGTAAATAGCATATATTCATTTCCTCTGGAAGTCACAAGTCCGTGGAGACTGGGAAGGACCAGGCTGTAGTTCAGGACTTCTAGCCAGAGGAGGTAAATGGAAAGGAGGACTTGAAATTGAGCTTCAGGGATGCGGTAAGGCTGCGATTTAAGATAAATGCCTTGCCCTTCCGGAGAAGGTAGAATTTATGGTAAGCACCTATGTAGTATTTTTCTTTCATAGTAGTGGTTCTCCTTTATTTTTTCATAGTTGGAATTAATCATTCCTTGAAATTGAGAGTCAAGGGAGGGGGAAAAAAGGATATTGAAGACATCGTCACCGAGCCTGAAACTGCCGTCCAGGGTACAGGGCTGCAGGGCTGGGATTATCTGCTCTCCGCATGCATGATCTTTTAAATGTCATTTCATCTCTGGATTTTGAAAATTGCATTTCCAGTGGAAACTGAGCTCATAGACCCGAAAATAAAAGAAAGCGCTCTCAGATGAAAAAATTAACCTCTTTGCTTATTTTGGAGCAGCAAGAAAGTAAGAAAAGGTCAAATCAGGGCACAGAAAATAGTCATTCCACATTCAAACTGTTACTTACTGTTGTGTTTGACTTCAGCAAGTGAGACTGTGAGGGCATTGATTTATTCCTTTTGGGAAACACACCTTCAACTTACCAGTTTGGATATAAAGATGTTTGTCAGGTCTCAAGTAGCCACAGGTTATTTTTGAAACACGTATTTGTTACACAGCTGCTGAAGTTAATAGTACCCAGTGTCCTCGGGCCTTTGGGAATGTGACAGGTGTGGAGTATTTATGTGCCCCAAGGTCTAGGTGCCACTCTTGGTCTCCCAAGTGCCTTGTGCTTCCTCTCCCAGGGCACTGACGTGCTACATTGTTGCCTGCTTGTCCGAATTCTACTCAGTTGTCTGGCAAGGTTGGGATCATGGCTCTCCTTCACTGTTCTCTTTTCTGCTGTCTACATGGCACCCCTGGGATGTTAAGTATAGTCTGAGACAGATTCTTTCTCATGAGTCTCCCCTCTACCAGGGAATAAAGGCTTTTGCTTCATAAAAGCTTTTAATTACCACTTTGGCCAAATGAATATTACCTTACGGTGACCTGTCATCCTCTATTTTGATTGTTTTTAAACCTTTGACATCTTTGACAGGCTTCTCAAAATCACATCTCGAATTCAAACTTAAGTCTTTGACCTCAGACTAAGTTTAGTATGCTACAGGGGGCCACTCCAGCATCTAAAAGAAAGATAATAACTTGGTTTATTTGATAAGATACGTGAGAAGCATTGTCGAATAAAAAGCGATGTTTAACTTTCTAGTTATATTTTTATGGATATGTCGTTAACAGGTGTTCCAAATCGTGTGAGATTTCTAAAATTCTGATATGTATTGGTATTGTATCAGTCATAATTGTGGTTATTATGATAACTTACTAGAGACTACTGAAACAACCAAATGTCCTTGTTAATTTTATCTTTAACTATGACCATGTTAAGTCTTTTCTAGAGTTAATTGCGTAATTCTGATACATTTTCTAAATGCTTTTTATAAGCAAGTAAAATCCTACAGTGTTACGTCTTCAGGGAGGCTCACAGAAATATGGGAAAGTATCCCAACAGACATTCTCGAATACGGTTTCTGGTAACTTAAGATCATATCATGTGGACTAGGTAAGAATTCCCAAAACTGATGAACAGATTCTACTACAAAGACTATGATTATAGAACAGACCTTTTTTAATTCTCTTGCTAAACTTGTGCTAGATGATAAAATTACTCTAGATGACCTACTGGCCAAACAGAAAAACATCTGTACAGTTATAGTTATGATTTGTCACAAATACATAAATACACTGAGTATAATGGAGATTCAGTTATAGGAAGTTAATAAAGAGACTATTTGGTTACAGTGCGTAGACGCTGTCTGGCTCATTGTTTGAACAATATTTAATTTTAGTTGGTTTGTTTTATGGAGACCCTAACTAAGGAGTATCTCCGAACTCTTGATATTATCCTCCTGCTAGTCAGAGTATTCTCCCTGGTACACTATAGTCTCTCAAAAGTTTTAACTGTTTGCATACAGCAATCCATAAAATGTCAGTGGTCTCTCTTCAATTGAAATGACAGAAACTCAAATGCAGGTGTTATCATAGAAACACCATGACCAATAAATGACATACTGGGTCTAAAATGTCAAAATAATGATAACTGAAAGTTGCTTTAAAGCCCTAAATGTTGATCACGTTCTCACCTAAGTAAAAACCTGACCAAAAGGGGGAAATTGTGAAGTTGTGAGAGGCCATTATTGTAGACCTAGCTCAAGCATTAGGCCCTAACACAACAGACCAGGCCACACCAAAGTAGAGGCACAGAGTCACAGACCCCAAAGGTGACATAATCGAAACAAAACCAAGAACCAGAAAACAAATAAACTCTAAAATAGACCAGGTTTTTTTTTTTTTTCCTATCCTAAAAACAAGAGAGTCCAACATAGAGAGGTTCCTTCTACTGGACCCCTTACAAAAGAATAACCTGAGTTCTCACCTTACCAAATCCACTTGCTTTTTCCTAGTGAGACTTAAGACCAAGTAAGTACCTTTATGGTAGTGTTAGAGTGACATCAGTGCCTCAATTTTGAGAGGTCGACTAAAAGGGGAATTGTTAAGTTCAGCCTATAGCTGCCTCTTTACGTATTTCAAACTCAGCCTAAAGTTTTCTCTCCATGTAACGAACCGTAACCTAACCGTGTGCGTGAGTAGACCTTCCTCTACCAACACTGAGTTTCAGCCTATTAAAGGTGGCCAACTGTTCAAACTGTTTAAGGCAGACACCAAGCTGCAACCAGTTCAGCTGTTTCTGCACCAAACTTGCATTTTCTATACTCACTTGCTTTCTTTCTTTTTTTTTTCCCCCCATAAATCTTTTCTGACCATGTGGTAGCAGCCGTCTTTCTGAACCTATTCTGATTCCAGGAGCTGCCCAATTTATGAATTGTTCTTTGCTCAATTGAACTCTGTTAAATTTAATTTGTCTAAATGATGGCGTTTATGAAATATTTTTTAAGGAACAGATAGATAGATGGATATCCAAACATGTAAATGTTTCTTTTTCTGTCAGAGTCATCTTTGTCTATTTCTAGAAATACCACTGAACACTTTTATTCAAAGTTCCACATAAAATAGAAAATTGGATGCTGTAAAGACACAAAGATGGCAGTGTTAACAGTAACACTAGTCAAAGAGTAACCTAGGCAACTCTAGATTTTCGGGAACTGATTAGTGAGTTAAGGATTATTCTGGCTATGCTTTCTCTGGTTTTCTCTAAGACAGTAAGTATTTATGGGTTTTATATCAGAAGGTGATTAAGAAAAAGTAAAATAGAAAACACCTGAGTAAGTTAGTTATTTCCCATATAGAGTTACTTGGAGAGGAACTTGAAATTGTCAAATAAAATGTCACTCAGATGTGGTCACGATGTCTGAGGTAGCCACAGAAACAGCTCTCAGTCACTGGGGTTCAAAGGTATACTGTTAAGGGTATCTTCATAAAGCTTCTCAAGAGATTGAAAGGAAATATTTTGAGATTTTTTTTTAAATTCATCTTTAACTTTTTGGAGTTTAACGATTTGTTGAATTTGGCAGTTAAAAAACATATTTGTAATAATATGGATTTCCATTTTTGTTGGACTGTGGATTTGTAATTCAAGTGAAAATTGCCAAATTCAAACTATACTGTGTTCCTTAATGATACTTAAACATCTGAATACACAAAGATGGCACTGGTCATCCTACAGAGGGTTAAGCATCTGTTACCTTTCTGGGTAAAATCAGATTCCAGCTTCTTGGATTACCTTTTCGCCCTCAGTGTATCTCCCACATTTTCATTCACAAGCTTTGAGGTATCATGTCGCAGACAGTTGACGCCCTGAATTCCATTTTAATGTGTCTGGTTGAATGCTCAGTAGTAGTAGTAACCTGAGATAAAGTTTGGGGAAGTGTCCCCCACGTGGAACATTTTTTTAAGCTATTTTGTACTTTATGCCAAATCATTTCCATTTGCCTGATGACTTCAGTGCAGTACTAGGAAAAGATGAAGTTGTTTACTTGTGAATAGAACGTGGGAAGCTTTGATTAATTGTTCAGATTTTCCCTGCTGTACTGTAAAAGGAAGTGTGACGTGACAGTCCGAGATACTGAAAAATGTACTGAAAGGGTCATTCTGAATTATTAAAGAGTGTTAAAGTGAATCTGGACATGAGTACAACGCAAGGGCAATTAAAAAATGGTCCGTTGGAAATGTGGCAATTGATCTGGACCTCGCCATGCGGGCGGGAGGGGACACGGAATCCTCAACCACTCAGATGAATATGGAAAGCAGCAAACAGTTTGGTGGGCTGAGAAATACTTCAGGTATGGATGGGACAAGGCATAGCCCTCTCCATCAATTACATCAACCTTCCATCCCGACTTCTCTCGAAGAATTCCCCAAACAAACCCTACAGTGTACATAAAAAGAATGCCATCTATGCAAAGGCGCCCATCAAACAAATCCCCAGATTGCCACCTCTAAAATCATCTCACTATTTTGTATCACCTGTTTTCACTTGGCAAGTTCCTGAGATGAAGGGCATCTCCTTCAAACAACTATTTTCAGGCCTTTTCCAACAGGAGGGGATGTTGTACAGGTCCTGTCTTTCCAGCTGCCCCATTTTAATAAGCATCATCTCGTTTGCCCTAAAGGAACCAAACGCAGATATGAATTGTAAGTATCCATGCCCGGTAAACACCAGCTTTGATCAGGCCGAGTAAATAGCGCTTTGTCTCAGTGCTTGTTGTAGGGTACGTGCGTAGTAATTCATTTCTGCTTTTCCTGCTTCTAATATTCAGCTTACTGCTGATTTTTTTAAAACTTCCTCACTTTTTAAAATTCTTTTTTTGAAGGAGAGATTTAAGGAAGCAGAAGAAATATACCAGGCTGGAATAAAGAACTGTCCTGACAGCTCAGATTTACACAACAACTATGGAGTTTTCTTAGTTGATTCTGGTGAGTGAAGTTAAAGAGAAACTGCTCTGTTGAGATTAGACGATACCATGTATCAAGAAAAACGGAAGGCAAGTAAGAAGGAAAATTCACGGGGCTTGGCAGGGAGCTCACACTGGTGACAGTCGTTATACCTTGGGGCTGTCATTTTCCTAAATCTTCATGGCTCAGCTCAGTAAAATCTGCCTGCTTCTTATAATCATGTCTCTAAGGAAAACTCCCCAGGTGGCAGGAAGTAGCCTTGATGTTTTAATGAGTCCCAGTCTTCTTTGAGTATCGCTTTATACATATTTATAAATCTACGATGATGAAATGTTCCCTGCAGTGATGCAGAACCTGCTTCTGAATTTGGTTACTGGCAGATGGCAAATACTTCTCTCTAACCGACTTTTTAAAAAGTGTCCAGAATTGTTTCATTGTTCCTTCTTTGATACACATTACAGACACTGCATTATTAAAATTGATACAGCGCTCCTATATGACAGGTGCTCATAAAATACGCTTACTTCATCTGACTTCATGCACAACATTACCGGGCTGGGATTCTATTTTCTTTATGATTTGTGCAGAGCTCCATACACTGTGGGCACGCCGTGAATACTTATAAGTCATGAAATTGTATTTGAATTTAATGCAAAAGCCCCACTTTGTTCTTGCTGACTACCAGACGAGCTGCCCTGCAGTAAGATTCAGTTTTAATTATTTTTCAATATGAAATGCTTGAAAGAGTTTTTGTTTTCTGGGTTTTTATTTTCTGGGATATTTGAAGCTCTTCTGTCTTATAGAATATAAATTTACATTCTGATATGCCTAGGAAACTTCTTTTATTTTTTCATGTGTAAAGTTGGTGTGGGGTGCCACCTGCTGGTTTGTTAGCCACATAATAATAAATTGTCATAAAGATAAAACCAGAAGAGCCCTCCAGTTGGCTGCTCTAACCCACTTCCTTTTCCTTCAACCATGAACAGTGCTACCCTACCCACCATCTACCTGACAACCACCAGCCACTGGCCGTGTATGACCTTGAGTCTCTTATGGTACCTCCTAGTCAAACTGATATTCAAAGCAGGTACCCTTGAGGAGGTTTCTGTGCAGCTCATAAACGTTTGGTTGCATTTGGAAATTCGGACTGCTCTCAAGTTCAGTCACTTAAACATAGTTTCACTAGCAAGCTTCTTTGGAGAACCTTTTCAGATTAAAGAGACTTGATTCTAGTTCTTGCCTTTATCCTTACTTGCCCTGGGATCTTTGCTTTCTGTAACGTGGTCATTTTATGTGTGCATGTGTATTTCAATCTCTTAAATACCAAGAGAAAGCTAAATAGCATCAAAAGGCAGCTAACTAGTATCTAAATATCTGCAAAGGTCATATAATTAAAATATTTTAAAATATATGATGTATTGGGCAAATACAAGGTAGTAGTATTATTATATTTAAAATTCCATTACATGCCATTTAAACTAAAATGTATGATTTCAAAAGAAATTTTCAAGACAGAGCTGATATATACTTGTTTAAAGCAATGCCCCAATTACTGTGTAGCAATATGGTTGAGACAGACCCTCAGAAATTGCTCCTGGACCATTCTGTTTCTGTAGTAACCTCACCTTTTCTTTTAATCTACTGAATTGAAAACTTATATTGGATACATAACAGTCAGTGATAATCTGAAAACATTATATTAGCAAGAATAATGATCAGAGGCTGAAACAATGCATGTAATAAAAGGAAAAGGTTTTAGTTTTCCTGCATTTTTATTCTTAATTATTTTTTATTTTTATTCTTAATTTTTTAGAAGTGTGAATGAATAGTCACATGGTTCAAAGTTAGGCAGTGGCAAGGATGAGAAATGCAAGTTAGTTTACAGAGTGAATAATTGATGGTATGACTCTATAATGATGAGGAAGAATTCTAAGTCAGAAGACAAACCAGAGCTCATGCATTTTATAAGATGACGAATTCTGCTCTTACCTACCCATCACTGGTTCCAGGCTTTCCAGAGAAGGCAGTGACCCATTACCAACAAGCCATCAAACTTAGCCCAAGTCATCATGTGGCCATGGTGAACCTGGGGAGACTCTACAGGTCCCTGGGAGAGAACAGCATGGCTGAAGAATGGTACAAGCGGTAAATTTCCTTTTTTTCGTTTGGAAGTTGCCCAGGGAACTCAGCAATTGCCCATCAATTTTTAGTGAGTTAGAACAGACGCATTCTCAGAATGCTAACAAATTTTGCCAATTCAGGTGATACAGATCCTTATTTCCAAAGAGAACAGTGCAACAGTATCCATGGTATCCCAGTTAATGGTTAATGACTTTTTTCCTAGCTGGTCAGCCCAACTTGGTGCAAAACCAAGTTTGGAATTTAATTCCCACCTTAGTTAGCCCATCATTTCCAAAGCAATGGACTGCATCCCAAACCACACACAGCACTTTCAGAAATGGGAATATATGAAGCCTTGTAAATACATCATAACACTTCTAGCACCATTCATGGGAAAGACCCTTTGGGCATTACTGATAGGTCACTAGAGACCCTCTTATGTTTGGAGGGTGACATCAAGATCCTTTCTAAAACTTCCTTCTTGATATAAAAACAAAGCCCATGTGAGAGCAGAGTTTCGAATCATGGACAGTCCTCCCTCAGTCTAAGCGTAGAACATTTGGAAATGCACCTATGAGAAGGCAAGTGTCACTCAGCCTCTCTCCAAACTCAGCGCCCTGCAGGTGGCACGCACAGCTGAGATCCTGTCGCCTCTGGGAGCACTGTATTACAACACTGGCCGACATGAAGAGGCTTTGCAGATTTACCGGGAAGCCGCCGCGCTCCAGCCTTCTCAGAGGGAGCTTCGCCTGGCCCTGGTGAGTAGAAAGGTAAAAGAATATGATGCATCAGCTGCAGAGAGCTGCAGTGGCCCGGCCTCAAAACAGGAGCTAACGTGCTGTAATCTAATACACCCACTGTGCAAATATTCACATAAACAGTGTTAGAACCATTCACCAAAGATGTGCATGCAAAAAACATTGTTGTCAGCTCGGCGCCTGTAGCTCAGTGATTACTGCGCCAGCCACATACACCGGGGCTGGCAGCTTCGAATCTAGCCAGGGCCTGCTAAAAACAACAATGACAACTACAACAACAACAAAAAATAGCCAGGCATTGTGATGGGCTCCTGTAGTCCTAGCTATTTGGGAGGCTGAAGCAAGAGGGCTGATCTCTTAAGCCCAAGAGTTTGAGGTTGCTGTGAGCTGTGAATCCATAGCACTCTACCGAGGGCGACATAGTAAGACTCTGTTTAAAAAAAAAAAATACTGTTGTTATTTTGAAATAATTTCAAAAATGTTGCCAGAATAGTAAAAAGAAAAAAAGAACAAAAGAAAATTCCCATATGCTCTTTCACCCAGAGTCATCAATTTTTTTAACATTTTGATACATTTGTTTATCATTCCTTTGTACGTGCGTATATATGCTGATATGGATATCTGTCCATATTTAGAAATGTATGTATGCATATGTCTATTATTAGTACATGTGTGTTTTTTTTTCCTGAACCACATGAGACCTAGTGATGGATATCCTATCCCTTGATCTCTAGACTCTGTTTATCATATAGTTGCCAAGAAGAAAGAGAATCTCTAGCACAACCATGGTACCATCCTCAAACTCAGGAAAATTAACATTCATTTCAACAATATTTTCATTTCGATGTCTAGAACTTTTCTCCTCCTTTTCCCTAGACGTGTAAGAAATCAAACTCATCTTGTTACAAATGCAGCATTCTGTTGAATCAGAGATTATTTCTCTTCTGACACAGTCAGCTTTTTTCAAAAAGCGTAAGCCATTTCATCTTGCTGTGATGTTCAAGACGTGTACACACACATGCAGGCACATAGCTAAACAAACAAACAGCAAAAGATTAAAACGTATCAACTGCGGCAATTCATCCTTCCCTGTGAACTGCTAACTAGATGTCAGGAGCATTTTCTCTGCGCCTCTATTAGGGACGCGTTCTATGATAAGGTGATAACCAAGTGTGTGCTAAGCCCCAGTCCATGTGGTTTTGCAGGCCCAGGTTTTAGCCGTGATGGGTCAGACAAAAGAAGCGGAAAAGATGACCAACCACATTGTGTCGGAAGAGAGTGGGTGCCTTGAGTGCTATCGCCTGTTGTCGGCAATCTACAGCAAGCAGGAGCACCACGACAAGGTAGAGGGGACTGGCTTGGAGTTGGTTGCATGTGCGGGCAGAAAATGGTGTGTTCCTAAATGATTCTTCAGTTTGCATGTCTATAGAGCTGAGAAGTTTTAAATACCAGTTGGCATATCCTAATGGAAGCTTTTCATAAATATCCCTTTAACTTCTAAGATGTCCCCTTGAAATGACACTTTCTTGGCTCACCCTTGGTCTAGAGATTTTATGTGCTATTCTCTTAGTTCATCTTCAGCTAACTCCATAAAGATGAAGAGTAACGTGTATGCTTTATCACCCCCCATATTCCTTCTAAGATACTGTTTCATAGAATCCTTGTAATAACCTTATAAGGCAGGTTAGTGAGGCATTGTTGCAACTGTTATCATCTCCATTTTAAAAGTCATATAACTAGTAAATTCATGAACTGACTCAATGACATATTTATGGAATGCCCGCTGTATCTCAAACACTGGGGCAGACACCAGGAATTAAGTGGGATGAGAAAAATGAAAAGTCACTGCCCTTTGCCAAAGTATCTCAAGAATAGAAGAAAAAGTATCCAATGTACACAGCCCTATTGTGAAACTAATTTATAGCTATCATAGGCAAGCTATAGCCCAATTTTAGCCCAAGAATACGGGGAAAGGGGAGAGGGAGGAGAGGGGAGAGGATGGGTGGAGGGAGGGTGATTGCTGAGATCAAGCCTATGATTTATCCTATAAGGGTACATGTGAATCTTTCTAAATGTGGAATATAAATGTCTTAACACAACGTAACTATGAGAATGACATGAAGGCTATGTTGGCCAATTGGATGAAAGTATTTCAAATTGTATATGGAAACAAGACACTGTACCCCATGATAGTATTAATGTACACAACTATGATTTAATAAAAAAAAGAAAAGTCACTGCCCTTGTCCTCCTGGAGCTTACAGTGAAGGAGACAGAGATTAAGCAAGTGGTCACCAAGCAGATGTAGAATTATAGCTGTGTCCAGTGATATCATAAATAGCTGCATAGTCCCTCAAAGCATATGATCAGGAGACCTGACAAGTCTGGAAGGTGGGGTTTTCCTGTGGAGAGATGGGAGGTAAGAGCTAGATGAGGAAGAGGGATCATTAGGCAGAGGGGGCACCAAAGAGAATTGTAGGCAGGGAAATAGCGCATGCACCGGCCCTGTGGCAGCAGTAGCAGGGCCTGCCGGAGGAAGGGCCAGAGGGAGCAGAGGTATAGTGGGAGATGCAGGCACAGTTTGCTGGGACCAGAGCCCTCAAGACCAGGCTAGAGGTTTTGCTCCTTACTCTGGAAGAAGCTTTGGGGTTTCAAGGAGAGGACAAGGGATTTCTGGCTGCCAGGGAGGAGTAGGTGCTGAGGACAGAGGGGGCACCCAGACCTGAGAGGAGACTGTTGGAATAATCCAGATGGGCAGGTGGTCGGGGCAAATGTGTGATCCCCCCCCCCATCTTATGTTTATTTCACTGTATTATGCAACCTCCCTGTATAATGGGAGGTTGTCATGCATCTATAAATGGGAAACCTGGAGCATAAGAAAACTACTTTGTTAGAGTCATTAATTCTCAACGAGAAAATCAGAGAGAAGGAAGAATGTAGTGTGAGTGTCACACTGCGTACTAGTAATACATAGGAACAAAAAGTGCAAATTGTATCAGTTAAGTTGGTTTTGTTTTACCTCGTCTGAGTTTATTGTCTTGATTTCCAATTGCTGTAGGCGCTTGATGCCATAGACAAGGCTCTCCAGCTGAAACCAAAGGACCCCAAAGTCATATCTGAACTTTTTTTCACAAAAGGAAACCAACTGAGAGAGCAGAATCTTCTTGACAAAGCTTTTGAGGTATAAGCGCTTAAGAAAATTACGTTATTTTCATAAATGAAAATTAATAATCCTTCATTCTATGATGGAGCATATACAGTAAAATCTAAAATCATTGGCATGCTTTTGGAGCAAACTTTCCCTCTAATTGACATAATGTTATGTGTAGTTTTTTTAATCAGGCAGGGGGCTCTTTACTCTTCTGAGTTATACAGCACCTCTGCGTTAGTTTCTGAATGATCACTTTAACTTAATGTTTGAGGAGTTTCACATGTTGTCTTCTATCTATTTTTTCACTCTGCCTGTAAGACCCCTCTGTTCCCACTGGACTCGTGTCTACAGAGCTTTGGGCATTCCCACATGGCCTTCAAATACTCCTGGCTTGTGGATGAGATTCCCACTCATCTGCCAGGACACAGTCTTTGTCCTCCTGCCTCAGCAAGTTCTTCTTAACTATCCTCACTCCTAGTGACCTTGCTTCTCCTGTATCCCTCAAAAACACTGACTGTTTCATTGAGGTCTGAGTCATTTGAAAGCATCATATATTTCATTGTATTGATGAGGTCCCACGCCACCCCTGTATATGTGTGTATGTGTGTATGTGCATGTGTGTATGTGTGTGTGCGTGTGTGTGTATGTGTGCGTGTGTGTGCATGTGTGTACGTCTGTGCATGTGTGTATGTCTGCGTGTGTGTGTATGTGTACGTATGTATGTATGTCTGAGTGTGTGTGTGCGTGTGTGTATGTGTGTGCATGTGTGTATGTGTGCATATGTATATATGTCTGAGTGTGTGTGTATGTGTGTGTGTGCGCATGCACGCACACATGCATTCTTGCATTTATACACCCCAATTAGACTGGACTTTCCTTGTGGAGTATGACCATTTCCTTCTCTGTTGTGTCTTACATTTTACAAGTATTCAACATCTACAGCTTTGAAGTACAATTTATTCATAGATTGAAATCAAGATATTTACAAACATAAATAGAAATGTTACAGAAATACCATACTTTATTCTTGTAGCTGGCAAAGCCAGTTGGAATTAATGAAGTTAAAATTTACACTACATATATTATGGGAAGAATCAGATCTCAAATGATATAATTATTTTGGTAAAGAAACAAGTGAGTGACTTAAAATGTTCTTAGAAGATATTTGGTTATAAAAATATAAAGATATTTGGAGAAACTCATGTGCACCTTTAAAATAGGAAGAAGTATTGTGGCATTTTCTCTGAAAAATAGTGAGCATTTCTTTCAGGAACTGCGGACTTTTCTCTATCTTTTGACGCTTTCCATACCTCCTTTCTTAAATTATTTTTAACTAATGTGAAATTTGAGTTAGTAATTTAATTATGTTTATATTGTATGTGTATCTACCTGCATCTTAATACATTGCATTGAAAACAAAAGCATTTTCTAGTTGCTTCGCCAACTAGATCAAATAATCATTACAGAGTGGCTACATTTAAGAAGAATAGGAATAGGGGTATTGGTTAATTACAGCTACAATATGTTAATACTCTGTGTGTTAATTCCCATGTATTAGGTGACTTAATCTTTACAACAGTCATATAAGAAAGACATGGTCATGGTCACCATTTCTCAGTTTCCAAAACTGAATCCCAGAGGTCATGTATCTTGCTCAAGGTCATAGAGCGGGTAAGAGATGGAGGCAGGATTTCAGTCTAGTTCTTCTACACGACATTCCCATCTGTGCTGATATAAATTCATCTGAGCGATATACCCTTCCAGTTATTATAGCAAGTTTTAAAAAGTATAATTTCTTATCGTTTGCTTCTTTCTCCTAAAACTGAAGCAAAGGATGATGGGCAAGGATTTACCGTGCTAGATCTGTTTGGTTGTATTCTTGACACAGAAAATTGCAAAGAACAATAAAATATACACACAGATACTTACCTTTGTGATTGAAGGCGACACTCCGAGCTTTTGGCTTTATATAAGGTGACCACGCTTGAGATACAGCAGTGAGCATACCTTTGATGCAAGATAATATGTGTAGTATTAAAAATATACCTCACAGAGGGGCTGTACCTGTGGCTCAAAGGAGTAGGGCACCGGCCCCATATGCCGGAAGTGAGCGGGTTCAAACCCAACCCCGGCCAAAAACTGCAAAAAAAAAAAAAAAAAATACCTCACAGATATTACGTTTAATAGAATACATGTTACTCAGACCAGAGAAAGTATTTGAAGGATAGCTAGCTCTTTTAACACGTGAAACCCTTTTGCTCGGCAGAAAAAAGAAAAGAAAGACTTTATATAAATACAACTATCCCCTTGTAAAGAGAGTAATGAATATCTCTTTTGAGAGTGTAAGCAAGGGCTCGGCGCCTATAGCTCAACGGGCTAGGGCGCCAGCCACGTACACCTAAGGTGGCGGGTTCGAATCCCCAGCCCGGACCCGCCAAACAACAATGACGGCTGCAACCAAAAAATAGCCGGGCGTTGTGGCGGGCGCCTGTGGTCCCAGCTACTTGGGAGGCGGAGGCAGGAGACTCGCTTGAGCCTAGGAGTTGGAGGTTGCTGTGAGCTGTAATGCCACGGCACTCTACCCAGGGGGACAGCTTGAGGCTCTGTCTCAAAAAAAAAAAAAAAAAAAAAAGAGAGTGTAAGCAGGGATGAATAACCAGAGCAGTAACATTGCACAAAGAAATACTACACCGGGGTTCTCAGCAATTGCATTTGTAATGAAAAAGGCCAAAAGCACAGTTTTCTTGCAGGTCAGGGGAAAATGAGGCACCGTCATAGAAATCACCTGAATTTGTGGTCGGCCTCCTTCCACCAAGTCCACATGTTAGCTCTGTAGGAAAAGGACACATCAGTTCACTCCACTTTAGAATCATCAACTTGGAAAAAGAATACAAATCAACTCCTGTAAACTAGCAGTGGCTGGTTTCATTGCATTAACTCTAGAGGTTCACGTATGAAGAAAGTGGTTTCCGCAAGCCAGGTGTGTTAAAGAGCCGTCCTCATTTCCTAACCTGAGCTATTTCTTATTTCTTTAGAGCTATAAAGCAGCCATAGAACTCAATCCGGATCAGGCGCAGGCCTGGATGAACATGGGTGGCATCCAGCACATCCAGGTGGGAGCAGAGTTCACCTCGTACGGGCGAGGCTTTCCCTTCACATTTTCCCGTTTTGTCTTTCTTTTTTCCTTTCTTAAAAGATGGAGAACACTATTGTTCATTTCCTTTCTGAAATTATTTGAATACCAAAGATATGGGTGTTTTAAAAGTGAAATGAATACAGTTAATGTTCACTCTGCATTATTAGTGAATGAACGTCAAGAACCCGCTTGTAAAAATGTGTACGAATTAGATTCCATGATTTTACTAATCATATAGAAATTAATAGGCACTTAAGTAGCAGGCAGAAGATAAAATCTGTTTATGTGAACTAACTCTGTCTTGGGGCTTAGTGTGGCTTATTTTCCTTCCACTTCAACTCACTGTCAAGATTTAAGTTGTTTAAGTATTTCCATATATCTAATATATCTGTCAGTCTGTAACTTTTTACTGAGAAGCAAGCTTATTTGTTATATTGACTTGTTTTTCCAAAAGCAAAAACTACTTTTTAGTGACTCTTGCTGAGGATTGTAAATGACCTTTGAAAGGGTACTGTTATCTATAACTAATTCAAAGGTTTGCCTCAGATACTTTACAAGCATTTAGGGAACACTCTCCTAGGCATTGGGATTACAGCAGAGAACAAACAAAACAAAAAAAATTCCTGTCCTTTACCATTCTAGGAGGAGGAGATAGATGATAAATATACATATACGTGCATGCACATGTAACGCGCGCATACGCACCTGTGTATGTGATACATCAAATATATCAGATGGTGATAGTGCCTTGAAGAAAAAAAGGGAAAGAAGGTGGGAGCGCCAGGTAGTAAGGGTTCAAGTTTTACATTCAGGTGGTCAGGGAAGGCCTCAGTTAAAAAGTGATTCTTGAGCAGAGACTTGAATTGAGTGAGCCATATGGCGAAGTAAGGAAGTTGCCTGTTCAGATGCCCTAAGGGTCAAGTGGGCCTCTTGCATTTGAAGGACAATGAGGAGGCAGAGGAAGTGGGAGAACCTGAGATCAGATCACGCAGCGCCTTGCAGGGAATGGTATGCACTTTGGCTTTTATGCCAAACGGGTCAGAGTCCCTGGAGAACTTGGACCAGAGAAGTGCCATAGTCCAACATGCTTTTAGGGACCACTCCTGTTTAGCTAACTCATTTTCAAGCTTTCATCCGTCTCTGTGCTGACATGACAAACTAGTGCAGTGATTAGGATTTAAACAAAGTTCTAATGGGGTTTCCTGTGAAGTGTGTAAAACGATCATTCTTAAAAACCAACAAAACAAAAAAGCAGCCTCCCGTGACGACACAGATGGGAGGGTTATGATAATGGGGTGGTTTCCCTGCAAGCATGACGTTTATCAGAGCCACACTGCCCAAGTTCAGATCATAGTGATATTCTAGGGTGTCCAGCAGTATCTAGTTGGGAAACATAGAATGAACTTACTTTGAAATAGTAAAATAAGAATTTTAAATACTTCAAATCATATATTAAATAGTTATATTTTCAAATAGAGTCATGTGCTACATAAGGAAGTTTTGGTCAATGACAGACCGTATATGTGACGATGGTTTCATAATATTACAATACCATATTTTCACCGTGCTTTTTTTGTGTTCAGATGTGTTTAGATACACAGATGCCATTGTGTAATAATTGCCTACAGTATTTTACATAGTAACATGCTGTTCCAGTTCATAGCCTGGGAACAGCAGGCTGTACCACCTAGGTTCACATGAGTGCACTCTGTAATGTTCATACATGGACGCGGTCACCTAATGATACATTTCTCAAAATATATTCCTGTCATTAAGCCACAATGACTATAACGTGCTCGACATGTTTTTAGATGAATTGCAATGGGTTTAACTGTTAATAAGAAAAAGTATAAGAAATACACTCAAGCATGTTCAAAAACTCTAGAATACAGAGAAAATTATATACCTATTGTATTCTTTCAGATTAACAGTTGAACCCATTGCTTTAAATTTAGAGGCACTTCTAAAGATCCTTCTAGAAGGATCTAATCAGTGTATTATTTTTAAAAGTAACACTGATTAAAAATTAGTTTATCCTGTTTTTTATCTTTGCAGACATCCTCTGTAAGGCCAGAGAATATAAAATTGCCCTGTTTTTACCTTAAAAATGGTCTAATATCAGTGAACTCATGTGATGTAATCCAATATAAATATGTAGAGCATGGTCATGGCTCAGCTGTGGTCCTTGTGAGGCCACCATGAGGATGCGAGGTTGTCACTAGGAAGGCTTTCTGAGACAATCATGAACCTTCTGTCTTTTCCCTGGCCACGCAGTTGTGCGTCAGGTGGTTTCATCCCGTTCCTGGGCCCTGTTTCTTCTTTGAATCTGAAAGAAGCTTAGACAGGCCAGAGGACTGGCAAGGTGGAGAGTTGGAATAAGGTTTTGGCAAGAGGTCAGAAAGAGGTGGGGAGGGAGGGAGTTTTCTGACTGCCTCTTGCTCAATGCTACTTGGTAATAAAAGATAATCCTTTTAATGGGGTTTTATATAGGACAGAAAAGCTGGACCTTAAAGCTAATATAATACGGTCTGTCTAGTCAAAGAGTTGCATCAGCTGGGACCACGTTACAAAGTCTTATTTTTAATACTACCTCCTGGCAGTAATATGCTTTTTCTAGAACAACACTGTCCATTCTAGAAAACTCCGTGATGATGGAAATGTTCTGTACTTGCACTGTCCCAAACAGTAGCCACTAGCCACTACGTGTGGCTGGTACCAGCGAAGGACTGAATTCTTAATTAATTGTAACTAATTTAAATTGAAGTAACCACCTGCAGTTAGTGACTATCATAATAACACAGTTCTAGACATTGGGTAATTCAATTTTTTTACCTAGGGTCTAGGGAAGTAGGGATATTGACTTAAGGGATATAATTTTTTTTTTAAATAGGGCTTTTAGTTTAATCAAGAAAAAAGAAGTGTAAGGGAGGGAAAACGAACTAGGTATTCTGTGAAAGGACAGAGAGACAACCTGGTGATTAGAGATGAAAATGCCAAGGTGCTAGGCCTAACTTCAAGGAGCCTTCTAGAAGAACAATATCTAAATCAACTGTGATAAAAAACGTATTTTGGAGCACTCTTAAGAGTTATAAATATGTAGTTGTCTGCATGTATGTGCTAAGCCTAATAAAAATCAAGACATTTGGAAGATAAACACTTGAAAAAAAATGGAATGTAGCAATTCCAAGTTCCCACTCGTTCAGCAATCTGCTTAACTTTGCATCAAAGTCAGCGTTAAGAACAAAATACTTCCGTTTGCTGCACATCCCAGCACTTAGATTTCCAACACACAATTTCTTATCTGTCATTTCTTCTTTCCCTTTTCACCAATATGATTATGAAAACTGTAAGAAATAGACAATGTTTATACGGAGACTGGATAGACATTGAATAATAACAGTGATGATAGTATCACACTGAATGCTCCCGACGTGTCAGGCAGAGTCTAAGCTTTTAACACACAACACTTTAGGAAGAGAGTTAAGCATTCAACAAGTATTGGTTATTTGCTACCTAGTAATTTCACTGCAAGAGACATAATTTTAAATTGTGATGGAAATTTAGAGCGTGACTGGTATTCATCATCATGGGGGCTATAACTGAGAATAGATAGAGCAAATTTGGAATAGGGAGGACCCTGACAATCTTACTATTTAGACTTTGCACAGACAAATAAGAGAAGTAAATACAGCCAGTAGCAGAAAAGGTGCTGGAAAAAGCTAATAGTTGGACTGATTTGCCAGAGACCATTTGGGACCAGGCACCCATGCTTGCTCATTGTAGAGTCATTAAACAAAATAAATGAGGGCAAGGAGAGGGTGGGGACAGGTGTGCTTAGCAGATCAAGAGTGATACCTCCCTGCCTGCGCTAAGAGTATCCAGCTGGTACATACTGCCACTCACTTTGAGTAGTAGATAAATTTGGCCCCATATTCTTATCAACTGGTTTTTTTTTCATTGTATAAAAATTTAAATTTGCATTAAAGCCTGTATTAGGCAAAAGTTGCTTTTATATTTTAAGTTGGAGAGTAGAATTAACTCCTACCAGTAAAAAGATATAGTGGATGCTTAATTTAATATTTACCCTTGCAGTTTCAAAACATCGCTCTCTCCCTCCTCTAAGAATAATTTCTAGCCATGGTTCCATCTGATTACAAAGAACCCTGCTTATCCCATGAGAACACCATGAAATGATGGGCTCATCCCCTGCATCAGACAAATTAGAAATTTGTTTTCTGCCATTTAACCTTATCCTGTACCTTTTCCAGCTGCTCTGGAGTGTTCTCCAAAAGCACCTGTGATAAGGATGAAATTACAGAGCCCCAGATAGGGTTTCCTTATGAGAACGTTTATGTCAGCTGGGCAGAGGGTCAGTGTCTTAGCCTCCCCATTCACTGAGAGTGCTCGCTGATGAATTAGAATTGTTCTCTTTCTTCTTCCCCACAGGGAAACTATGTGTCTGCAAGAGCTTATTATAAGAAAGCCTTACAGCTGGTTCCAGACAGCAAACTGCTGAAGGAAAATCTCGCGAAATTGGATCGCCTAGAGAAACGATTACAAGAAGTTCGAGAAAAGGATCAAACATAGCACCATTTGACCCAGTCTCATGAGATAATGTGGGTGCCTCTGACAGAGGAAAAAGTGATAGAGGCCTTGCTTTCACATCAGCAGAGGCACAACTAACGACGCTTTCTTCTCATTCTGAGTTCAGGGGGCGCATTGTGGGCCACCTGCTGGTCACCCCGTTGCTGAAGGACTTTCTGTGAAAGAAGATTAAAAGGATGAGCCTGGGCAAGAAGGTCTGAGAGGGAAGGAAAACAACCACACATTTTACAGATTTTCATTTGGCTTAACTTCAGATTTCCCTTGATCTATTTCTATGCTTTTGCAACCTGGATTTCCTTGTTTAGACTTGTATGTCCCAGAGATACAGAAGCTTAAAATGCTCTGAAGGCAGATCTTCCTTTCTTTATGGGATGAGATATTTCAAAAGAGGATAAGTCCTCTGGCGTAAGCCATATGGAAAGTAATACCAAGAATGGGCCCATTGAATTCTCCAGAACCAGAAATGTGTATCCAGTGGCTTTTGTAAAACCTTCCAGAATATGTGAAGGAAAGCTATTCTTAAATGAGCCTTATCTTATGTCCTCCTAAAGATATTACTAGAGCCCTTTGAGGAATAAATAAAATTCCACTCTGATGCATTGGCTAATAGATCAAAGGAGAAGCTTTTGGAATTATATGTAGATAACTTTTATCCCTAGGGGAAAGTCAAGGAACTTGGTACAGCTAATTCTTTATGGAAATGTTTAAAATTATTTTAATTTTATCATAAGTATTACTGGAGTAGTGATTCTACTCGAAGACTCCAAAAGTGCATTTAAAATCATACATGTTTCCTGCCTCCAAATATATTGTTATTTTGGTGGAGAAAAAATAGTATATTCTACATAAAAAAAATTAAAGGTATTAACTGAGAGAAATGTCCTACTTTATTACCTTAATGTTCAGACATCACAAGATTTACTATTTTTTTGACAAATATATTTAATCAGTAAGGAATCGTTACAGTATATTCCAGAAATCTTCATAGACTCTAACTATATGGAAAAAGAGCTCTATTTATTGGTCTTCCTGGGCTTAAGGAGAACTTCAGGCTTAGAACATGAGTGATTGAAACCGAGCGTTCTTTGTTTGAGGGAAGATGCTGGAGAACGCTCTAAAACTCCAGGGGAAAAAAAATCTAAATTCGTTAAGTTTCAAAATACATATTTATATTTAAGAGCGAGGGAAGACAAAGTTGAACTCAGAATTCGACATTTATTTTTAGTATATTATTTATTTTATAACTTATAAAATATTTAATATATATATACACACCTCTTTTTTTTTTCTGTGTACAAAGTGGTTTTACTAGCAGCTTTCAGAACTGATCTTTCCAAAGCATAGATCTAAACTACAAAATTGTTACGTTTTCACCGTCCTTCCAAAAATTTATATTGATTATTCACTTGTAAAATTAAAGCAATTTGGAATCTGCCATCGGTGTTCAGGTGGTAATATATTTTGGAAGTGAAGAAATTGGAAGAGCTGATTCTCATTTAGTCTTCACGGTTAAAAACCCCTCCAGGCAGTGCTGCTCTGGTGCTGAGCTGGGTGTCACAGAGATAGAGTAGCCCCGGGCATATACATTTCCCACACTCAACCCAGGGCAAGGTAAAAACAGCTTTCTGCTTCTTTCAACCCAGTAACAGGAAGCACTATCCCTATCTGTTGTTTTGTATAGAAACACACACACACACACACACACACACACACACACACACACGCATACATGTTTTGTCAACATAAGTCTAAATAGAAGACAAAGCTTCTTTGTGAAAGGATGGCAGAAGAATATTTAAGTGCAGATGATTACAGAATTAGCATGCATCTGCTTGTGTGCAACGGTATCCAATAACCTGTATATTACCACTCCGACCTTTGTTTCTAATCGTCTTTCAGTATTCTATACCGTAAATTTATTCAAAATCATTAAGATGCTTTCTTCCCCACCCCCCAAATTATAGTCTTAAGGCCAAGAAATACAGTGTAGTGTTTATTGTAAAATAACCACCACCTCCCCCATTGAAAAAAACCCAAGCTAGTGACAATAGCTAGGACTTGATCACAACTTTTTGAAATAATATGAAACCAAAACTCATGCTTAAAAAGTTAAGAGACGGAACCCCAAATTTTGAACAGCAATTATGCCTTACTTTAAGTGCTGCTTAGAAGACACTTCTTTCTTGGAAGAGTTGAAATGGTCATTTTAGCCTCCAAGTTTTGAGGGAAATGGGTCACATGGCCCTGGGCCTTCAGGAAATTTTCTCTGCCTTCTTTTAGGTGCTTTCCTGTGTCTCTCTTCCTAACCCTCTTCTTTCTCCTCTCCCTCCGTCCTTCCCTCTCTCTTTCTCTCATTTTGTCACCCTGTCTCATTCTGTCTGTACACACTGGCATCTTTGAACATTAAAAGTAAGCACTGTTATTTTAAAAAGTATCATTTGCTGGATTAGATATTCTCATCCCAAGTAAATACTTTCACTGAGATGTGGCCAATGAAATAGTTTTCACAGTTAAAACAATGCCTACAAGAAAATCAATCACATACTGTCTTTCAAAGATAGGAAGTATACTTTGTACCTATTTTTAAATTTGGTTCTTGTAACAAGTGAAATAAGTGAAATTCGTCCTTACTTATCAAAACTGGAGTGCTCTGGGTGGCTTCTGTAGCTCAAAGGAGTAGGGCGCTGGCCCCATATGCCAGAGGTGGTGGGTTCAAACCCAGCCCCAGCCAAAAACTGCAAAAAAAAAAAATGTAGTGCCCGGGCTAGTCACTGAGGTGTGTCCACTTCGCCTTTGGTGACAGCATTCTCGCCCTGATCATTGATAGCACCTTTTTGAAATGGAGGAGCAGGACTTGCCTCACAGATGTGCAAGACCTACAGTCATGTGTGATCCTACACTCAGAAGCACTCCAGACTTAGCTGAATACTGTGCTTGAAGTTCTTAATAATTTTCAAGCACTGGGACCACAATTCATTTTCCAGGAGGTTCCTAAGTGGGTCCTGGGTAGGAAGGAAAGTGGCAGAGATCAAGATAGAAGTTGCTTGCGCCTGGCTGAACATTTGTCCTGTGGGCAGAGTTTCATTTGGGACTGTGTTACCCTGAGCAGCATTAGCTGTTTTCCTCAGCTACATTGACAGTTTTCTCTCGTCCCAGCCCCATCTGATACTTTGGTCCTACCTAGAATCAGGTCTCCTCACCTTTAAAAGCCCCAATAAAGCCCCATGGCAGTCCCTTCACATGTCCTTTGACGTAGTTGTCAGGGACGAGAATAGTTTTAGCAGCTGATTTTAACCTTACAAATTATTCACTCGGGATTTTTAAAATGATTCCGATGTTTTCAGGCTCTTCACACATTCATGAAACATGGTTCAGTGGTAGAACATAGGTGAATTAAACCAAAGACGCAAATACGCTGGAGGAAAAGGAATTTTATTTTAGGGAATTCTGAGATACATTCTTTTGGATTCATTTGTTCTGAATCCTGTCACAGAACAAAGAGGATGGTCAGCACTTTAACTCGCAACTCCCTGAAATACATCACAACCTAAAATTGATCATAGGGGCTCCTCATTGGATGCAAGAGCTTTGTGGTGGTTATGGAAATGTTTCTGCGCAACTGCTTTTCAGCCAGACCAAATAAGAAAATCCAATCGTCCTCTACACATGAACCTATGATATAATTTGAGGGGGAATAAAGAACACATGTGTGGGTTCTTATTGTCACTATGAAACATTCCAGGTCCCTCAGATTTAAAAGCCACATTCAGCAGACAGTTGAGATCTGTTTCCTTACATACAGTGACCCTCAACACTGGCTGCACTTTAGAATCCCCAGGGCACCTTTCAAAAGCTTTTAATACCTGGCCGTCCAGGGGACAATTTTAATGGGCAGTTAGAATTCTCTAGAGCCACGACAGGGCTGACAACTTTAATGGGAGTTTGTAACTTTTACAAAAGAGATGTTTATAATAATCTTTCGCAATTTTTACCTTTCAATCTAGACTAAAATGAGCCAAAGAATTCCAAAGAACGATTTATGGAGCAGTTGGTTAGTTGATGGTACCGTTCTGAGGTTGACAGACAGGTGTTATGTGGGGTGGATTAGCACAGGGGGCAGCTGGACTACAATTGGCCTTACATTTATAGAATTCTTGGTTCTTATATGAAGAGGAATTGCCTTGAAATCTGCATGCACCAGACCAAGTGCCCAGTACTTAAAACTGATATTTTTATGACTCATAGTAGGTATTCCCGACATAGAGTTGACACCTGTATCTGTGTCTCTCTTTTGGGCACACACCTGAGCCTTGGCTAACGATTTCTTAATTGTACTTGTTAAGCTAATTGTGTTAGTTTGGGGGGAAAAACCCAAAACTTTTGATTTAATTTGTGGTAGAGTCATCCTTTTAGAATAAAAACTCTATAGGACGTAGTAATGACATGCAAAGCACATATAGTTTGATGTGGTTTGTTTTTTAAATTTTTGTCCTGGTTTCCAAATCACATTTACTTTGATTTGATTGTATGTTGATGTTTCCCCAATATGGCAAAACTTAACTATCTAAATGGCATCTTTTGTCACTTAAAAAGAGTAAATACCTGTCAAAGCTTGTATTTAGGCTATGGTTGAATATGATACAATCTTAGGATGCCACAAAATAATATAGAGAAATATAATTTTTTATGATTATTCTTAAAGTTCTTGATGCAAAAGTATGTTGAATCGTCCTTCCAAAACTAGCTTTTCCCTGTATATTTTTTGTTTTAATACCATGTAACTTAAAGAGAAGAAAGAAAATAATTGCAATCACAAGTGTGGTCCAATATCAAAGTGGCACAGCAGAATTGGTAAGATATTTGTAACAACCAATTGGCTTATTTTAAAGTGTTTTTTTTTTTTTCACTGAGAATCCTTTCAATGAAAACCTTTAGGGCATGTAACTCATAAAATCAGCATCCATCATGATATATGGCACTTCAGTTTGTAAGTTCAGATTACCATTGACTCCCAACTGGAAAGGGATGTCCACATCTAGACATTTAGGAGTTTCCTCCCATCCCCAGTGCTGTATGTGGTGTCTATTTGCATCACATTTGGTAGATCCAATGTGCGTAATGTACCTTTGGGGTTGTTTATCTTGCTGGTCCATAGGAGGAGTGCACTAGTTCAAGAATGAAGACATCTGAATTCTAGTTCTAGCTCTGTCCCCGAGGAGCCACCTCACCTGCGGCAAGTTAGTCAATGCCCCAGTCATGTTTATGGACTGGTCCAGTCTGAGGGTTCCATTAAGCTCTTTGAGCCTCTGCCCTGGTTACCCCTGAATCTGGATTTAAAAGCTCTGTTTCTGATGAGATAACTGATAAATGTTGCCCTTTGTTTTAATGTTTTAATGACTTAAGATAATCACATCCAGTGCAACAAAACACACAAACGTCCCTGGAAGTGACTGAATTTCCCAAGTGCTTGAGTGGGGCAGAGGTCCTTACCTTTGTAGTCTGTGCTCTTAAAAAATAATTACAGTGATTGTTACCTTACTCGGGGGGAAAGAGAAGCTAAAAATTGGCCTAGGGAATTAAAATACCTGTAGGTGTGCTTTTATGCTACGGAGATCATTTGCTGTGACCCACACAGATTCCCTCCTTTTGTCAGGAGGAGATGACTTTCGTCGTGCTCTTTGTTCATAATGCTTTTCTTTCCAGTTTTGATCAGTTGTATATAAATGTACGTTTTTGTTACCTTTGCTGTGCCAGTTAGAACTATTTCTCCCATAAAGTATTTCTCCTATGAAGTCTGATTATGTATACTTTGCCCGGGTCTTTCCAAAAATAAAATTTATGTAAATGTCTATTTTATATAAAATATGATGAAAAGAAGTACGTCTGGTTTCGCTCTCTCCAGTATTGTGTGGTTGGTACCCGTCGCCACCCAGGCCATCTTCCTTCCATCCCTGCTGCTTCTGCATGCTTCCACTCTGCTCTCTGTCCCTTACTCCACACAATGTGTTTTTCAGCCCCTGTCCACTCCAGATCTGCCACCTCCTCTTGCTTCATAGATGCCTTCACCTCTTTCTTCACTGAGTAAATAAAAGGTGAAAAACAGGTATTTCCTCAGGTTCCTGCGGTCTATCTCGACACTTGCTGGCTCTGTCTCTATACTTCCCTCATCTCCTATTGCCACAGTGGAAGAAGAGGGTCCTTAAGCTCTGGAATCTGCCTCTCGTAAAACTTCATGCCATTTATTAACTTCTCTTTCCTCCTGTTGCTTCTTCCTTTGGCTGACGCTTGTCAATTTGTCAATTTCCCCTCTATGGTAATACACATACACGGATGATCCATCGCTGTCTAAACCATTTGGAAAAAAATAATCCTACTTCACCTCTAGGAGTTGTCCTCTCTCTTTCTGTCCTTCACAGCCAAGAATTTTGAACAGCAGATTGCTGTTGTCCTACACTAGCAGACATGTCCCCATTAACCACAGCTTTGCCATATATCACAGATCCTTTCTGGGGTAACCCAGCTCACTCCCCTCCTTGAGAATCTTTTCTAAAGTTACTTTCAAAAGAAAAAGAGGGGTCTTCCAATTGGATCACATCATCCAAACTCACTTTCACCATCATCACAAACTCAACTTGTTTTTAAAACATTGTCTTACTAGAAAATTTGAATCTAAAACAAATGTGTGTAATTCTTAATGAATGCCTCTTTCTCCATTTAATGGGTAGGCATTAAATTGTTAGGTATGTAAGGGCCCAGTACTTGGTATATACGGACAAGGTCTCACTTGAGGTTGTGAGTTTCGAACTCTGGCAACTGAAGGCGCTAATGAGACGGTGCCCAAAGCCTGGTTTCCCTGGTTGGGAAAAAACCATGAACATCCTGTCAAGATGAGTGCTCTGCGCAGAAGAGCTCAAGGGGACCACGTCTGTCAGCCACATGGGACCAGCACCTAGAGTATTGTATGCCCGGCTAGTCTTGGCACAGCCATGTTTATTTCTCCCCCTTTCCCTTTTATATAGTAAAGGCCTCTAGATGGTTTTAATCTAAGCTCCTATTAAGAGGGCTTTGGGTCTACTTGGGGGTGCTGAGCTTTTGTGGTAAACAGTGTGCCCCTATAGCCAGCAGAGTGGTTCAAATGCCAATCCTTTGAGATGACTGCTGGGCGGAGTGCCATGAAGCCCCCAGGTCAGGCAGCCACCATTCCCAGAGATTTCCTGGACGGCACTCAAGCCTGGAAGTTCATTGCTTTATTTTCACAGAAGAGCTATTTACCTTGCCAAGCCACTTCCCACACTGGACACTCAGAATCCCTAGACACCCGTATATTCAGGAGTCATCTACCCAGTCACACTGTCATCCAGGGTGTCTTTGAAATTAAAGGGTGCTACTCTCAAGAACAGCACAGTCTGATAGCACTATCCGTGCTGACGGAAATGTTCTGTACTTACACTGCCCAATATGGTAGCCAGTGGCTGCTGAGTACTTGAAACGTAACTAGTGTGGCCTGAAGCACTGAATTTTTAATTTGAGGTAGTTTTAGTTTAAACAGTTACATATGGCTAATGTCTACCATGTTGGTCAGTGCAGCGCCAAAGCTTTTCAGTAGTGTGGGATTTGGGACACAAAAATCCCAGAAAGTCCTTTTGGGTTTGTGGGATATGAAGGTTTGAACTATGTGTTCCAAGGTTGGGTGCCAATCGTGTTTTTTTTAGGTTTTTCATCAAAAGTTATCCATTCACCCTCTCGTCTCATCTGCAGTTACACCCAGCGGGGTGTCCCTTATTTATACCTGTACCCGCATTCCCTCCACCTGAACTATCTTCTGTTTTCCTGTCCAGTGTCTACCTCCTGCTTCCCCCTCAGTTTGTTTACCCTCCTGCCTCAAGAAGCTCTTATTTCTGTTTTACGTGGAATCAAGACAACCGGGTCTGGGGAATTGCTAACAGGTCAGTTGATCCGTGTGTGCGTGTGTGTGTGTGTGTGTGTGTGTATACCCACTTAGCCTTGCCTTAATTTTCTGACAAAATATAAGTCCATCACAAATTCCGACTTTATTCCTCTCCCAACCTAAAGCGAACTTATATTTATGGAAAAAAATACTGACATGATCATCTTGCCAATGAATTAATTTTAATCATCTTGCATGATGCCTTCTACAGCTTAGACCATTCTGCTGAAGCTGAGGTCAATACTATACCACCCAGGAAAGCCTGGTAACATAAACCTTAACTTTCCCTATCAGAAAACCTTTTGATAAGGGCTTGAACCAGCTTCATAGGCCAGGATTGGTGGCTGCAATCCTAGCACTCGGGGAGACTTAGGTGGGTGGATTGCTTGAGCTCAGTTCAAGACCAGCCTGAGCAAGAGTGAAACCCGTCTCTACTAAAAATAGAAAAATTACCCAGAGGTGGTGGTGCATGCCTGTAGTCCCAGCTAACCTGGAGACTGAGGCAGGAGGATGGCTTCAGCCCAAGAGTGTGAGGTTGCTGAAAGCTATGATGATTCCAGAGCACTCTACCCAGGGCGACAAACTGAGACTCTGTTTGTCTTTTTTTTTTTTTTTTTTTAAAAAGAGGGAGACTCAAGAAGGCATGCCCTCTTTTAAGAGTCTCCCTCTGCCTTTCAGAACTCGCTCTCCTGCGGGGTCTAGCATAAACAATCAGCCTCATTGCTGCTGGGCATGAATCACATGCCCTGGTCTGGGACAGAATTCACTGCCACTAAGGGGTCTATCCGTGGGGACATCTACGCACCTGCGAGCGGCCTTCCTGCCACTGGAGCACTGGGCCCTAGGGCAGAACTGTGAGGCCTCTGACGGGGGTGGCCGGGATGATGTAAAAAGGAACACCTGGGAGCCCCGGGCCAGCAGGTGCGGCCACTCCGGGCGCCGCGGGAGGGATAAAGGGCACGGCTGGACCCACCTTCCGCGCAGGGCTCACAGCGTGTGGGGAAGAGGCCCAGCCCGCCCAGGGCGCAGGGGTCATGGGCGCGCTGGTCGGGGCCGGCTTCTTGCTGCTGCTTGTCGTTGGCGTCTCTCGAAGCTCTGGTGAGTGTGCTGGGGAGGGTGGCTTCGTCCCTCCTGCCCCCGGATTGCTGGAGGTGCAGCCACAGGAGACCCCGTCTGGGTAAAGGGTGAAGGGAAGGTGCGGGCCCAATCCAGGCCCTAGGCCAGGTTTCCTTCTAGAAATTTCTTGGACTTCAAATTTTTAGGCATATTTGCTAATCATGTTTGTGCTAAGGAGTTTCCTCCAAGGAAAGAGAACCAAGCAAAGGTAACTTGAAGCCGAATATCACTTCGTAAGTTGTTTCCCAGTATTTTTAAAACGCCCTAACTTTCTCGTAATGTGCATTCTCCCAGAGTAAGCCCCACGTCAACCACCCGAGGCCCAGCCTGCTCCCTTCTCCTGGGTCTTCCCCTGTAATGGTAGCAAAGGTAAGCTCTAGCCTCCTGAGGGGGCTGTGGGATAGTCTGAGGAAAATGTTGACGGGGGAATGTCTGTGCCAGTCCAGGGACTCCTGATGAAAGGAACTCCACCAAGCTCTGTGTGTAAACGCGCATACCCATGCTCTGCCAGCAGGACTCGAGTGTGGAATTTCTGCACCTGATTTGGAAAGGAAGGAACCCGCTGTGGCATCTGGGGTCTTCTCTAGAATTAGTAGCTGGAGAAATTCAGCAGTGGGCAGCCATCCCTGGCAGGTCAGTATTTCAGCCACCTTGATTTCTGACTGAGAAAATGGCGAACTATTTCAAGAGTCCAGGTTAATAGGTGGGTTTTCTCCTGGCTGCCTCTACCTGTCTACCCGGTAGATATTTCCATGGGAAATTTCCATAGAGGCTATTTCAGGATATTATGTATTTTCAGGATATTATGTCAGACTAGAAGATTGCAAGATGTTGCAATCTAGAAGGTGGCAAGATGACTATTGTGCAGACTAGAAGATGTTGTCTTTCTGAGGGAGAGACTACACTGGTTGAGCTGTGCTTGTAACTTTGTCTTGGGCAGGTCTCCCTGAAGCTAGGGGAGCACCACTTCTGTGGAGGGAGCTTGATCCAAGATGATCAGGTTGTTACAGCAGCACACTGCCTGGTTAGCCTCAATGCGTAAGTTGTGAATTTCCATTACTTGCCAAGCCTTGATTTATGGCTGTGGGACTAGGAGAGCCAATGCTCTAAATTTCATCTTCCTTCGTTGACCACCTAGAGCACTTATCCACTGATCTTCCTGATTCCCCAAAACTTGTATTTTCCTCAGATTTTTTAACCCTTCCCACTCTACTAAATAGAGAAATTCCCAAAGGTCCTTGACAGCCTCTATAATTGGTGGATTTAGCGTTGTGTAGGGGTGATGGTTCCTTATCGTAATAAAGTATTAACATTAACTGTTAATGGATGTGCCAAAGTTTTAATCATCTGAATTTAAGTCATGAGGCAGAAAAGCCTTGCAGACATAGCAAATCCTTGACCAAAAGAGGATGCCTATAAGAGAAAAGGAGGGATGGTTCTAGAAAGTTAACTGTTATGTCCTGCTAAAAATGGCCTAGCACATGTAAACCATAGTTCGTATACAAAAAGACGAAAAAGAAACAACATTCAAATACTTAGACAATTGATGGCCCATGAAAATGTTGAAAAGAATGTAAACATTCTGTGACCGAAAACCATGACTTTTTATAGATCAAACTATTTGGCAAGTATAGCCATTGGTAATATTCAATGACAAAGAAACTTCTTTAAGACTTGGAAATGCTTAAAAGTCTATTGATTACTTTGTATCTAATCACATAAAACCAACAGGTCTTGCTTGGGGTGAACAACTACTTATTGGAACATTTCTCTTTGGTTTTAGGAAGCAGCTTAAGAGTCTGACTGTGACTTCTGGAAAGTACAACCTCTTTCAGAAGGATAAGCAAGAACAGAACGTTCCCGTCTCAAAAATCATCATCCATCCTGAATACAACAGCCTTGGATTTATGAGTTCTGACATTGCACTGCTGTATCTAACTCACAAAGTGAAGTTTGGTAAGTGGAGAGAGCTCGAATGTCAAAAATGCAGTGGAGAAAACAGCTAATCATGTACAAGTTAACTAATTGCTATGTGAATGTCTAGTAAGAGTAGCTAAGCTTCATTTTTAAAATTTTGTTCAAATAAAAAGTGCTGTTCAGGTACTTGGGAGGCTAAGGCAAGAGAATTGCTTAAATCCAAGAGTTTGAGGTTGCTGTGAGCTATGACACTACAGTACTCTACAGAGGGCAACACAGTAAGACTGTCTCTAAAACACAAAAAAAGTGCTGTTCAGGCTGGGAGTCTCAGTCATGAATTATGTATGCGTACTTACCAATCAGCACTTTAAGGCACTCCTGTGTCTTACGGGGGGCTGTATAGACCATCTACTCATATTCAGCTGACTGACGAGTTTGAGAGTTTTAAAAGTATTATCAAAAACTTCCTTTCTGTCATTAGATTAGATACCCACCACTATGTCTGCTCAGGTAACTTAAACATGCTTCATAAAATACTAAAAACCTTTCTTTCTTTCTTTCTTTCTTTCTTTCTTTCTTTCTTTCTTTCTTTCTTTCTTTCTTTCTTTCTTTCTTTTAATTCAAGTAATAGAAGTGTTTGATAGCCAAAAACAGTAAGAGCACAGTTCCAGAGGGGTTAGCCAGCCACCAAAGCAGACCACTGCCCTTGAGGCATACAACTGATCTTTAAAATCCTAGAGATTTAAGCTGCAAAGAACCTGAGACTTTCTGATAGGTGATGGCGTGAAAGCTAAGGAGAAAGAAGGAGGTGGGGGGGGGGGAAGGGGAGTATGCCACACAAAATGAAGGAATAAAGAAACTTACTCGGAACTCTGGCTTTGGGCAGAGTTCTCAGAAGAATCTGTAATCATTACTCTTATTGAAGTTTCCTGGAGTTGGAATTACCTGTGTGGCCCCAAAACATCAAGGCAAATTTTTAGTTTAAAGCAGTTCCAGGTGAATAATCAGCTTCTGGCAAAAGCCAAAGTGAATCTCAGAAGAAATGAACCTTAAATCCCAGCTTCAATGTGTTCCCATAAAACTTTAATGTGAGCACACAAACATGCAGAGATATTTGCCATCAAAGACAGAGTCAGGAACATGAACAACCAGAATCAGACCTGCAAAAATTACAGATGTCAAAACGAGATACAGCATGGAAAATATGCATATTTTACTTAAGCTTGAAGAAGTAAATATCTATCAAAAATAACTGAAGAACAGGAAAATATTCTATGGATAGGAAGAAGATTTGAAAAGGAGCTCATAAAACATGAAGATCTAAAAATACAATTGAAATGAGAAACTCAGTGTGAGGATTATTTACCAGATTAGATGTAGGGAACTAGACAATCTGAAGTTATTACCTAGATGAGACAAAGCGGGTAAGAGATAATGAGAAGAGAGACTGAAAGAATATAATAAACATTCGGTTTGAACTTAGACATGAATATGGATAATGAGGGAAAGGAAATACCGTTTAAGAGAAAGTGGCTGAGGGGTAACCATACTTGATGATCCAAATCTTTAGATTTAAGAAGCCCAGGAACTCCAACTATGACAGAAAATATAACTTTATACCCAAGCATGTACTGAAAATGTGGCATTTAAGAAGAATAGAATGGATCTTAAAGGAATCTAGGGCGGGGGTGGGGGGGGGGAGAATTACCAAAAATGAATGAGAACTAGAGTGGCAGTTGACTTCTCAACAGCAGTGCAAGAAAGTCAGAAGGCAAAACAAGGTCATCAGAATCCGGAGAGTAACTCTAACTGGAACTATATATCAAAGGAGGCTACTGCCCCATTGTTTCTTCTTCTTCTTCTTTTTTTTCTTTCTTTTTGCAGTTTTTGGCCAGGGCTGGGTTTGAACCTGCCACCTCCGGCATATGGGACCGGCATCTTACCCCTTTGAGCCACAGGTGCCGCCCTGTTTCTTTCTTATAGAAAACTCTGAAGAGTCATCTATGCTGGTTATGTCAAATTTCCTCTCCTCCGTTCTCGTAATTAGATGCCTGGGTACTGGGTGAAGGTGTCTGTTAGACATCCAAGTTGATCGGACTTCCACTGCTCCGTCTTATTAGAGTCACAAATGACCCCAGTGTGATTGAATTTAAAGGTAAATCCTCAACTCTTATCTTTCCCAACAGGAGTTTTTAGCAGAATTTCTCATATTCTCTTCTGCAAATATTTTCTTTGTGTGAATTCCAGGAACCCATTAGTTTTCCTCCCACCCCTTGGCACCCTTTTTTCATTCTTCTCTGATGAGTCTTCCCTTTGGCCTGTTGTTGGAGTGCGACAGTGCTGAGTCTTGGACGTCTTACTCCCTATTTGTGCTCAGTTCCTTACTGATGCCATTCCAGTGTCAAGGCTTTAAGCACCACGTCCTTAAACTATTCCAGATCTCGTGCCTCTGTGTTTCTAGAAGGAATAGGATTCAGAGAGCCAACTGATCATCCATCTGGATAGCTAACAGCCACTTCGAATTTAATATATTTCAAATAGAATCCTGTTTGGCCCCCACATCCCACACTCGCTTACCCTTAGCTCCTTCATCTCAGTTACAATTCCTTACTTCAAGTTTTTAAGCTAAAAGCGTCAGACTAGTTTTTGGTCTTCTTTCTTTGATATGGTATATCCAATGGATCAGAAAGTCCTGTTGCTTCTATCCCGGCCACTTCTCTCTTCTATCATCCTGTGCCAGGCCACTCTAACATCATTTCTTACCTGCATTAACTTTAATGATCTCTGAAATTCTCTTGATCTCCTGTTTCTTCATCCCTACTTTTCATTTTTTTCAAGCCAGCAGCCAGAATAATGTTTGAACATATAAATCAGACTGTCACTCTGTTCAAACCACTTCAGTGCTTCCCCATTGTACTGTGATGAAAATGGGATCATCATCTGACATCCTCCGCTCCCCAGTCGTGAATCTCAACTCTGCTTTATTTTTTACTATACTTCTTTTGCTTAAATCTGTTCAGCCGTCTTGGCCTCCCTGCTGTTCCCAAACACGCATGCGTGATCCTGCTACAGGGATTGCTCATTCTGTTTCCTCATCTAATGCTTTCAACCCAGACAACAGCACGATTCCCTCCCTCAGCTGCCTTTGCTTAAGTGGCATCTAGTCAATAAAACTTTCCATGACACCATGGTTAAAACTACTGCTCCCATGCCATCTTCCCTAATCTCCAGCCTTCTTTTTTTTTTTTTCTCACACTCTGATTTTTCCAGAGCAAGTATTATTCAACCACTACATACTTTATTGTGTCTCCTCCTCCATATGTACACTCTTCTGTCTTTAGGCTCTGCCACAACAGAAGGCTGCTTTTTTTTTCTGCTTGTTCATGGAGGCCTAGGAAAGTACTTGCTACATAGCTTTTCATCCAGTACTTATTGAGCACTGCTATCTTTTCAGAGACAAGACATACTCCAAAATGTTTGTAGTTTGGGGGCTCATGGTAGTATGTAGAGCAGTGCGTAACACTTGTTTCACTTTTTCCACATTTTTTTCTAAATTTCTATAAATGTGAAATGGCTTTGTGTGAAAAAAAAAAGTTAAAATATGTCCCCATTATATTTAGGAGGAAAAATATAAAAGCTATGAAATCAACAGCTATTACTTCTTCACATATATTCAATATATAATCAATATCACTTGCCTGTCCATGAACTTCATGACTTTGTTGTTTTCAGGAACTGCTGCTCAACCCATCTATCTTCCTAACAGAGATCATAACCTTGAAGCAGGGATTCTTTGCGTGGCCAGTGGATGGGGTAAGATTTCAGAGAGTAGGGTACATAATACTTTTTCCAGGACTCTGTACACCCAGGGGAAGCAGAAATAATATTTTTTGGCCGTAAGTAATACATTTATTTTTTTCTTCATACTTTCTGACCTAGAGAAGCTCTCTGGTTTTCTTCACCATAGAAAAGTCTGTACTTCCTTTAAGACTGTTTCCATCACTCCTGTGGCCTTCGTGTTCAGGTATGTCCGATGGACCCTAGATCTAACCATGAGAGATGAGGAGTATGGTAAAAGGATAATCAGGAAATAGTGACAGTGGTCAAGCTTCCTTGTCTGTAATATGGTGACTTTTTAAAAAGTCAAACTCTTAGGACAAAAAGTAGAAAGGTGATTTCAAGGGACTTGGGGTAAATGGGTGGTGTTGATTGATTCAAGGGTACAGATCAATTATACAGTAAATAATTTCTGGAGCCCTAATATACATCATGCTGACTGCAGTTCATAATATTGTATTATATACCTGAACTTTGCTAAGAGTAAATTTTAGGTATTCTCCCCACAAAAAGGTTAACTATATCAGGTGATGGATATATTAATTATCTCAATTATAGTAATTGTTTCACAGTGCATATATATATCAAAATGTCATCTATATCTTGAATATACATAATTTCTGTCCATTATACTTTGAATATTAAAAAATACATTGTCACTTTTTTAAATAAAGAATTTTATAAAATATTGCCTAAAGTTTGCCTAAAGTATTGACTAAAGTTTTTCTTCTGGTGTAATATATAAGCACATAGAAGCCACAATGGCTTGTATTATCTTAAAAATGAGGAGAGGGAGGGGAGGGGAGGGAGGAGGATGGGTGGAGGGAGGGTGATTGGTGGGACCACACCTATGGTGCATCTTACAAGGGTACATGTGAAACTTACTCAATGTAGAGTATAAATGTCTTAACACAATAACTAAGAAAATGCCATGAAGGCTATGTTAACCAGTTTGATGAAAATATTTCAAATTGTATATAAAACCAGCACATTGTACCCCATGACTGTATTAATGTACACAAGTGATGATTTAATAAAATCTGAATTTTTAAAATCACATGATTTTTAGAAGCAAATGTAATTCACATTTTTAAAAGTGACTTCTACCTTTAAAGATCTGTTTGAGAGAGTTTTGAACTTGTAGGCTTCTCATTTGTTTCAATGAGGACAATTGTTGACTAATTTATCAGATCTTTCTCTACAGCATCAGCACGTTCAAATGTTCTACAAGAAGTGGAACTTACCATCATGGATGACAGAACATGTAACGCCATACTCAAGAGGATGAACCTCCCTGCTCTGGAAAGGACCATGCTGTGCGCTGGTTTTCTTGATGGGGGGATGGATGCCTGCCAGGTACAAAGGCATAAACCAGCCCCATTGTTCTGTAACACGGCTAAAAGTGGATCCTGCCTTTCCCCATGAGCTCCTTTGAGGGGAGCTACTGTGTCACAATTCCTTTTCCCTCATCTTTCCATCTGGCTTCCATGGAACCAGTTTAGCTGAACTCAGAGAATTCTGTCCCATCCCCTTGCCCATTCCTGTTCCTATACCTGTTTTATTTTGGTGACTTGGAGGCAGGGGTTATTTTCGACATGTTCAAACTGATGAAATTAAGCAAGACGACAACTTCAACAATCTTATTAGACCCCTTATCCTTTATTTGACATTTTGTTGACTATGGTGATTTTTTTTTTTTTTTTTTAGTGAAGAATGTTGGCACAAAGTTTGACCAAAGACACATAGCTTTAGTAAGTGTTGGGTAAGAGATGTGAATGACAATGGCCTCCCAAGACTGACTCAACAACTTCACAAAGAATATCAATTTGTGTGATCTTTAGGAGAGAGAGAGAGGGGAAAGGGAGACCAACTTGTGAAAGACATGAGTCTTAAATTTTAGATAGGTCTTTAAATAAATTATTTTATATATATGTGTGTACGCACACATATATAAAATATATATATTCATATATATATTTTATATATATATTCATATATATATTTTATATATATATATATATATATTTTTTTTTTTTTTAGGTAGAGAAGCAGAGAGTCATTATTCCTTGCCAGAAAGCAGCTTGAAACTGTTGTGGGAAGCTCCCTAAAATTATCTGTTGGAAGAATTTGTAAGTTTTTCTTTAAGAGAATGATGGAGGAGTTTGAGAGGGAGGTGATAGTATCTTACACTGGTACCACTGTCTAAATTGGAACACAGATTGGCTAAAAATGCTTTGTACTATCTGCATTCATTAGAGGCAATTCCTTTTTAAATGAAGTCCTCAAAAAAACAATTCTATACCTTTTGAGGAAACTTTAAAACAAGATTGTCTGAAACTTATTCTCAAAGCAGCATATGCTCTGGAATGTTATGGAAGACAGGATCCTAAAATCTTGAGTTCTCTACTCTCTAACATGAGAGCCAATATAATTCTTTATATACACTCCCTGAGACAAAATGTGATTCCCCAAGCTCTTGTTTCCAAAGACTTGAGGCCTTATAACAACTTTGGTAGGCTCTATTTACTGATGCTATCAGCTTGGCATCAGATGGCCTAGACTTATCCAGCAATTATAAGTGATAAGCTATAGCAGAAGCATCCATCTGCAACCACAGCCCCTTCTTCCGCTAAGTTTTTGGAATGAAGATGGCAATTCCAAAAAAAAAGTAAAAATTAGGCCTTATAAGATTGCAGCCAGTAGGTGTAAAAGATTACATCTAGATGACAATATTGTCTTGGAACCAGATGAGGTAAGGACAGAATGTATGACCAAAAATGTGGACAATATCTAGTGGACTTCTATGCCTCTAGCTCCTCTCAGTAGGAGATGAGTACTGATGTTTTTGGAACTGATGAAGTATTTTAACCATGGCTGTTTTTAAGATGTTCTTTCTTTGGTACTATTACAGAGGGACTCTGGAGGTCCACTGGTGTGTAGAAGAGGTGGTGGAATCTGGACTCTTGCTGGGATAACTTCCTGGGTAGCTGGTTGTGCTGGTGATTCAGCTTCTGTGAGAAACCGCCATCGGAAGGCATCCCTCGGCATTTTCTCCAAGGTGCTTGAGTTGATGGATTTTATCACTCAAAACATGATCACAGGTGGGTGAATTCTTTCTCCTCATTTCATCCTAAGATAAAAACTGATCATGCTTAACTCAAGGGTGGTCATTCTGTAATTGTGGTATAATTGGAACTAAGCTTTAGGGGCTGCACCTGTGGCTCAGTGGGCAGAGCGCTGGCCCCATATACTGAGGGGGGCGGGGTTTGAGCCCAGCCCCGGCCAAACTGCAACAACAACAAAAATAGCTGGGTATTGTGATAGGCGCCTATAGTCCCAGCTACTCAGGAGGCTGATGCAAAAGAATCCCCTGAGCCCACGAGTTGGAAGTTGCTGTGAGCTGTGATGGCTTGGCACTCTACTGAGGGCAATACAGTGAAACTATGTCTCAAAAAAAAAAAAAAAGTAAGCTTTCTAATAAAGCAAGAATATGGCTGGTTTTAAGTTCTTAGTCTCATATATATATATGAATTTGTCTCTGAATTCCTGAGCGCTTAACTCTGTCAATATAACTTGAACAAACCAAATCCCTTTGTAAAATTTTCTTATCTTTTGTATTTATAAGACTTTGTAAACAGACCTTAAGAATACTCCTCCAGGGAGTCTTTCTTCATTTTCTCCATTGGCATTTTGTTTTTCCTCTATACTACTTAAAAAAACTAAAAATAAATCACTTCTCTCCCTCCTTGCTCATTCTGCCATATTCATTTTACTTGGCAACACTGGAAAAAACGAGGGAGTTAATTTGGTTCTGCAGTACAAAAGTCTGCACTTAGGAAAATGTAGATCTGGAGATGCCAAGCCTGTTCTCCAGGAACTCTCTAATTAAGGAGAAAAAAAGAAAAGGGTAGAGACAGTGACACTGAAAGGTGAAGCCCAGGTAAGCCCGGAGAGCTATAAAGGCGCAGAGAAGAGGTTTGGGAGGCTCAGTCCTGAGAAACCGGAATGTTTGCCCGGAAAAGGGGCAACTTCTCCAGAATGAGAGAACACAGTTCCAGAAAGAAGTTGTTTAGTATCGGAACCAAATGGAAAGGACCCAGAGCCCCAGAACACAGCATTCTGTCTGTCCTTCTCCCGTGTAGTCCAAGGTCACCCACCTACGTAGCTGAGGACCTTGAAAAGCACAGCAGCTGTTGGTCTCCCTGCTACTCTCAGCTCACTTTGGTTCAGTCTTAGGCATGAAAGTCCTCTGTTCATTGCTGTGCTGCCTGGGACCAATTCTCAATGGGTGGAGACGGCATTCTATTTTAATCACCGGGATGAGAAGGTTGACAGATTTAAAAGCCTTGAATAAAGGTTAATGGTAAGAAGATTTTTAAAAGGGCATTGAAATCAGGCCATAACAGTTAATGCTACAGTCAAATGAGTATCAGAATGTGATAATAACTTATTTAACACATCCTTGGGATCATCTTTCTAAGCTTCTCCCTCTTTATTTGCCTGTTTCCAGCCCTTCTTGTCCATCCATCCCTATAATTGGCTCTGCTTTAGAAATAGGGTTAAACAAAGTTTTCTTAATGCTTAAAAATCAGATGAATTAAATCTTTCACATCTTGTTTTTAAAACCATCCTAAGTATCACATTATTTTCCGATTCTATGTAGCCTTGTAGCCTATTTTTAAAGACCCTGCTTCTGAGAAAACTCCTCTCTGCATTGATTTTTTTTAAAGAAGTTATAATTTTATATCAATACGTATTGATATATCAATAATTTTATATCAATACTTAGTGTCAAAATTATATATGACAATACTTATTGTCAAAAGTGATATTTAAATGATTATTTCAATGTCATTTATTGGTGGGAAAGATAGTCTTTACACACTCTATAGATTTTGGTCAAGGCAAACCCTTCTCAAAACGAGTCTAAGCAGTATAACAAAGGGCCTGAGTTCTGTCCCAGGTGTGCGTGGAAGCCAGGAGAAAGCCAATAAAAAGTTTTGTATAGTCATAATCTGAATTTTCGGTTTTGAAAGTAAACTTTACAACATCCTGCTCATATTTATTCATCAGCTTCCAACACTTAAAACCTAACACTGGCATCTGAAAATTTTGAGTGGAGATTGACTAGGCCATTGCTAAAAGTTGTATACATTTACCTTAGTATCTTTATGCAAAGGCATTTTACATCACCCAGGATATCCTAGAAAGAGATGGTAGAGTTGGAGAAATGCTAAATCTAAATATTTTTTAAAATTATAATTCAAAAATTTTAAGTCTGCTTATAGATACAATGTGTAAATTATAGCCTCTAAAAACATTGGCATTCTCATAAATAGGTTATAAATATAAGTTGTACACCTTCAGGCTAACCTCTACATCCTAATAAAATATTGTTTATGGGTAGGGAAAATTATTAATGTCTTTTCCATTTTTTTTTTTGAAGATTATAATCCTCAGGGGACAGTGTTATTTGGAAAAAGTGGAAAGATTATTTACCCCTATTCCAAAGAAGACAACTATTCTCATAATTGGTATGTATCTTAGGTAGGACTGATTTCTGGGGTTCCTGCCCCTACCACCAAAATCAGGCAATTACAAGACTATTTTGGTAATTTTATTTAGTATCTCAAATTCCTTATTGATATAAAAGCATGTATTTCATCTGATGTTTTTGGCTAGTGAATATTTACTAACTGATATTCCTGATACTCATTAATATAAATTGAGTAGTATGAAGACTAAAGCTCACCTACATTTTCAGGGGTCCTCAAACTTTTTAAACAGGGGGCCAATTCACTGTCCCTCAGACCGTTGGAGGGCCAGACTGCAGGCCCTGGGACAAGTTGGCTGCTAAGCAGGACAGGCAGCAGTGGCAAAAACACCTGGCAGGCCAGATAAATGTCCTAGGCAGGCTGCATGCAGCCCGCAGGCCATAGTTTGAGGATGCCTGAATTCAATATCTAATTTAACAGCATCATAGTAAGGAAATTGCCAGGAGAATTTAGTGATTAATCCTGTCACACTTCTATAATCATGGTAATATTTGGTGAAATATCACCTAGTGATATGAAAATAGTTCATACTTTATAAGCCTTAGTACCTTTTTAATAAATTCTCTGCATATTCTGTCCTCTGTATGCCTAAAAAAATCTTAAAGCTTTAGAAATTAGTTTTTATAAGTATCTCATTTTTCTTAAGTGATGTAAATTTATTTTCAAAACTATACTGAAAATTAGCCAAGAATGGTGGTGCATACATGTAGTCCCAGCTACTTGGAAGACTGAGGTGACAGAGTTGTTTGAGCCCAGGAGATTGAGGCTACAGTTAGCTATGATTGTATCTCTGCACTCTAGCCTGGGAGACAGAGCAAGATTTTCTCTTTAAAAAAAAAAAAAATAGGGAGCTTTTGAGTGGCACCTGTGGCTCAGTGAGTAGGACCCCGGCCAAAACTGCAAAAAAAAAAAAAAAAAAAAAAAAAAGTAGTGAGCATTGAATGGCATATTACAGAGGTAGAGGAGAGCTCTGAGTTTACAGTCTGGTAGGAGGAGAGCACTGAACAAAGATAACCATAATACAAAACAGGATGAAATAAATTTTATAATCTATAATATCCAGCTTTGTTGGTACTTTGAAAAATGGAGACTAATTCCCTTTGGAGTGATTGGTAAAGTATATGGATAGAGTGGTTATAGGGTGGGGGAAGGGTTTAAAACACTTTAGTGAAAGAGGTAACATTGAAACTAGGTACAGAAGGATAATTATGATTTTACAGCTCATGTTTGTGTTTTTTTTTTTTTTTTTT